GGTAGAATATCAAGAAGGATGGGTGATTGATGCTGAGCAGTTACAATGCCCCACAAAACCGAGTGACCTACCATGCAGAGGGTTTTCAATTGCAAACGGCTAATGGTTGCTTCAAAACGCTACGATTGGCAAAAACGACCACGATTAAACATGCATGCCGCTCAGAGTATCTGGAAGAGAATCAACTGTGTTCGCACGATGAGGACAAGATAATATGATATACCCAGTTCCCGTTCTAGACGTAGTCAACGTGTGTTCACATCAGGCTATTTGATCTCTAAACACTTAAACGCGGCTCTACAAGGCTTGGTGACCTCAGTCGCAACACCCGAGGAGACAGCCACTCGTCCATTCTTCCCCTAACAACACACACGCCCCTTCCCCAAAACAAGATCCACCCGATACTTCCGGACACGAACAACCGCCACACCAGAACCCTGCACCATGGCCTCAAGCAACGATCCCAAAGCCAGCGACCAGCCTTACCGCATCCGAAGCGTAGAAAAAATAATGGCAGCGCGCCAGAACGGTCTGGGGTCGGCTGGCCTACCGTCCTCTTCTACGTCCATCGACTTCGATACTTCCTCCTCCTCAAATAGCTCGCGGACCTCACACCAAACAATCAACACTCATGAGACCAACCTAAACCATGACACAAACAGCTCACAAGCTAGGAAGCACACAGAACACACACAATCAGCAGCCTTCCACGATCTTGTCCTACACGAGCGCATCCGGTAGTTTCCTTGACCCAGACGCCGCCATGCAGTGCGATGAGTTGGATAGCGAGCTCAATCCATTGCATCGGTACTTGTACCAAGCGGTCGTTGTGGCGTGCCATGTCCGTCTGCGCGCGACATGGGACGAGTCACTGCACATGATGCATCCACCTTCAATTCTTCGTTGGAGCAAGGATCAGGTTCTTTCGGCCATGGTGGCATTTGCAAGCAGTGAAGCAATGCAGGCCAGGGAAAAAACGTTGGTTGATCTTTCGCTCAAGCTCATGGAGGATCCGGAGAACAGGGGATTGGAAACCGTGCTAATTGCACTACTTGGCGGGCGTCGTGACATGGACCACATGGTTCATGGTGAGTCTGAAGACGAAGCTGAGGACGCGAGGAATGAAGTCTGGTATACTAAAGCTTGGGATACCGAGGAAAGCACCGGTGAAGACGACATGCAGAGTGACACGGAAGATGAGGTGGAGAATGGCAATGATGTTGGGAACTAAAGGCAAACTCAGTGTGAAAAGTCAACATGGCTCAAGCATAGTTTTGTCATGTTCGCTGAGTTCCCGAGGTCTGCTGGCCTTCTGTTTATAGTTCTGTTACTGAAGTGGCACAGTGTGTAGTTATGGCGTAATTACATCCAGACAAGTCGTAATCAAAAAATTTACACTTTATATCTACAAAGTCTCAAACATTCCCAACCCCTGAGCTCCGCGTCTTAAAAGCGAGCTTTTGTTACAGTAGAATCACAAAACAGAGATTACATCAAATCCTTCCGAGAGCTTTGCCTTTGAATTACGAGCCAGTTTATTTTGCAGTAGAATGCACACATGATACGTACCGCATGGTATCCCAAGATGCATTGTTACGACGTTTATATGGCAGTGAGTAAACCTCCTTTGTGATATGTTCATGCCTGTGTCTGCGGCATACACGAATGAGTTCCAGAGTCTGTAATAGACATGACATTGACTTTCGAATACACACGCAATATTCAATTCCATAAACATCATCTATGTAAACAGAATAAGTGCCTGCGTTGTGTCCACACGTAGCGTTAGTCAATCAGTGACAGTTGGTGTCTCAAAAAGACGTGCCTGGACCACAGAACTTCCCTAATCTGCCCAACGTGACGTGACAGCATCACTCTGGGCTACCAATAGTATTGACATATTCAATGTGCAGTTACTGATGTACTCCTGTCCCATCCTGAGTCCTATTAGTACGCCTTTAAATCGCTGCTGTTTTTTTCAATCATCCTGCGCCTCTTAGCAAACATTCAACTTGCACCTTCCATCCCATCAGCGAAACCAAATATTAGACCCCGAAACAACACACACAGTGTGAGTACCACCCTCAACATGACACGTTCTCGATCGCCATTTTTCTGCATCACTACAGTTACTGACCTCGTCAAGATGGAATCCGACGCAATGACCATGCTCTCCTACCTCGACCCCACCCTGAACCCAAATCTTGAAAAAGCCAGCGACATGCCGCGGTTTGCTCCACGGGTGCTTGTACTTCTCAAGCGTGCCCAACAAAAACTGCACACCGTAACGAGGCTCGCAAAGGGCAAAAAATTCGTGAAGCACAGTTTGGCAAGGCTGGGCCATAGGTGGTACCCCACTCTTCACCGCGGCTATTCCGGTCCAATTCCAACCATAGTCATCACGCCGCCAGACGAGGGCTCGGAGCCACCATTGCCGGGTGATGCGGCGTTCATCGACTATTCCGGCTGCTACACGGGGTTTGTGCCCGGCTTCCTGGAGCCACCGAAGGTGGTTGGAAAGTTGGGGAAGGCATACAATGCCAAGATGGAGGCGAAGATGGCGGAGCTGGAGAAGGGCGGGGAAAGCGGGGAGGTGACTGGGGGGAAGAGAAGACGTGCGGTGAAGAAGGAATCGGCGTTCTGTGGGGGTGGATGGGTATTTGTTCGCTTTGTACCGAAAAAGTAATTTGGTCGTAAATTTGGGATCCCCGCAGTTTCGGTGCCTTGGAGCTGTATCGTTGTATCGGTATCAGATAGTACGGATTTAAATCCACAATGTGTCCATTTCTACGACCAGGATATTTTAATAGTGAAATCATGCTTTTATCAAATCCCGTATTAGCTACTCACCTCGTGGAAACATCAGATATGGATCAACATCAAGACGACATGGAAGGTGCTGAATCATCAGCACCTTCCTCGCCACCTTCTTCCCCGGTCCCATGTCCTTACGAAAGCGAAGAGCCAATAATGCTCCGCGACGACTACAGCGCCAGCGACATCGTCCACCTCCAGCGTGCCCTTAACCGCTACCACGCCCTCCTCCTGAACGAGTGGAACAACGCTACCGGCGGTTCTGAGATGCCACCGAGCAACTACTTGCAGGCGCCGGATATCTCCAACTGGACGTCTGTGAAGTACTTCAACATGGCGAGAAACTATGAGAAGTTCTGTGATTGCAGGATATATCTCGCCAAGGGGAATTATTGGCGGGCATGGATGGCGGAATGGGCGTTCGCGGTGCGGTTGCCGCCTGTGGATGTGCCGAGGGACGAGATCAGGATGTTGCATGCGTGCTTGGTGAACGGAGAGACTGGACTTCCAAGTGCTTTTTGATTGTGCTAAGGTGCTGTTATCAACTGGGCTGAGTGCTTGATGTTCGTGGTATTTGATTTTGCGTTTTGTTCTCAGGATTGTTCTTGAAGGTTAGAAAGCAATGAATCAATCGGCTCTTCATTATAATATCAGCCCCTGTTCTCTCTAAGTAGTGGATAGCAACCATGCATCAAGTTCTGGAGTATTTTAACACGAAACTTCACAGCATAGATATGGGGGACCTGTCGGAGGTCACTGTAACGAGAGCTCGATAAGCCATAGTATTATGTATTGATCTGTACAACGCTACGAGCAGTTTGCAGCAGAATCGAGAATCTGTAGCCACAATCATTACCACGCCCAGAGGTGGCGAGATGCACCATTTAATCGGTCCTAGGATAAGATATAGTTAGTGACATGTGAGATTTTCTTGGCGAGAGAATTCATTATTTCTTGAGAACACTAGTTTGAATTGCTACTGGACATTTGCAAAACCGACACGACACTGGATACCGGATGATGTGATCACCAACCATTGGGGCCCAAGTTGTATCCGGATTGCTGTTTTTTAGATTTGGTGGCGTTAACGTTCTGGTCATGGCTGTTGTTGATGTGATAGCCTGTGCGAGACTCCACTGATCCGCTGGCTACCCGTCCGTATTTTCGCTCTGAAGTCTCCACTGGGCCACTGCTCAAGGGGTATCCCTGTCCAGCATTCTGTCCGTCGCCGCGAATTCCATTGCCAGCGCGCGCCTGCGAAGGCCCGATCTCAGGTGCTATAAGCGGCCAGGGGTCTCCGGTCCTAGTACTTTGCTTTCGTTCCTGCGGAGTGGACTTCTTACCTTTAGTCAATGCGTCGACGGGAACCGGCTCTCTACGGACATCTTTCTTGAAAGGATTGGGGTGGAGGTCAAATGGTGTCTGCGGCTCGCTCGGCATGATTCGCTGCTGCTGTTGACTGGGCATGATCCGCTGCCTCTGAGGCACCTCCTGACACTCCCAGCCGCTGCCGAGCTGGGAAAGCAGTAGTGCTTCTTCTCGACGCTTCTCGTTCTCCGCGGCTGCCTTGTCAGCTTCCTGTTGGCGCCTCCAGAGTGCAATCTGGCCCTTGGGGTAAACGTCGTTGTTGCTGTTGCGAGGCATGTGGTGGGAGCTTAGCAAGGATAGCTTCGGGTAGACTGGGGTCGGACGACCAAAACGTTGAGAGTGGCTGGGCTTGATGGCAGTGTGAGACTGAAGATGAGTGGCGTATGAAATGATGAGAAGTTTTATCTATGCGAGTCCCAGGCTCGCTGGGCTGACGCTTCGATAGGCTTATGCAGCCATTGCTACAACGGAATTGATTACAGCCCGTCTGCAGATTTCGATCTGGCTGGGGCGGCGAAGAACCGGCTTGTATTCGAGAAAGCTGATTCTGTTGAAACGTACAATCGTGCGTCCTCGATGAAGGATCCGGCTTTGTCTCGACTCCTGATATACTAAACTGTCAGCGATGCGAGCTTGAAGGAGGACTTTAAGGTGAAATGCTCCTCCATCGATAGCTCGCTGTTTGCTCAGGAGTGGTTCGATTTCATCGGCGTTATTACCGCTTGTTCTTGTCTTAAAGGAATATCATTTTCTTCTTCGATAACAAATGACACAATTATAAGTTGAAACACCTTCGTGGCCAAAAAACGAATAAAGAGTGGACCAGCCTGGATTCGAACCTGGGTTTGGAGCTTTTGTGCTGGCAGATGGCAAGGTCCCGTGTTTCCCCTACACTACAGGTGCACCCTTCAGTCCCAATGGTCTTCATAAGTACCTCTTTTTGCGATAAAACAAGCAGACTCCAGTATACAAGTGTGTTATTGAGGGGGTTTGCGGAAAGGAAAACCAGGTGATGGGAGATTATTTATTCAAAGAGTGGAGGGCTAGTTGAAACCTCACTTGGATCTCCCAATCGTGGTTTTGCCTGTGAACAATAAGTTCTTCTGAATGTACACCATGTCGCTACAGTGTAACTTGAACAGGTTGAATCGGAAGGTTGTAGACAATAGCGTGTATAGTTGCACCGAAATCTACCGTATAAGCACTGGACCCCGCCTTCGACATTGTCCCCTTTGAAAATTAGTCAACGCTGTGCCTTATTGCGTTCGTCATCCTAATCATCCAAAATTTCCCTTGATCAAGTTCCTCTTTAGCATGAACTTGACCGCTACGTTCTGCACAGTCCGCCGTTGCAATGTGAGAATGATTGTTCTAGTTGGCCGGCGGGGATTGTTCGCCCGCGGACTACCTGGGTGGTCCACGGACCACCTGCTCGCCGGCGGACCCCCACCTTCCGTCGGCCACCTAGGTAGTTCAAGGTCCGCCGGCCAACTAAGGGTCTGAGAACCCTGATAATACACTGTATCCCACAAAATTGCACAATCACACGCCAAACAAAACCCGCACCTAAGATTAACACTCCATTAATTAGTCGTACTTTATTGCCTGAAAATAACATAGCATTCTTAATATTACGTGATAAAAATGCACGGCGTCGTTGCCGAAACCACTCATTTTTCCACCAAAACTAGAACAATGACCATGAATATTGTGAATACTGTCTGGATACTGCCCGCTCGTGACGGTGAGTAGTAGAATATCATGAACTTTTTTCGATTTGTAGTCAAACTGCGCACTTGTGTATCTGATAGGTGGTATCAATGCAGCCGATAGACCTACAAGTCGCCCGGTACGGCAAATTAAACTGTGGTCTTAGCGAAATCATAGGTGTTTCGGTATCAATCGGAACACATATGAAGTCTGATCTATATAAGCTCTGTGGGTATATGTCGTGTTTTAATTCATTCACTCTTTTGTTGGAAAAGAGTGCGTTGAGAATGCGTCTCGTTGATCTATATTTTGTCACCGCTGTTAAATATTAGTGAGCAATTGGTAACGAAAAACTCCCTGGGGCAACTGGTTGTCCGCCGGCTGACCGGTTGATGAGCGGACTGCTACCTTAATTCTGTAGGCCAACTGGGTGACCCGTGGACTACCCACAGTCCACGGACCAACTAGTTGGCCGGCGGATGCAGGTTGGTCCATGGACCACCTGGGTGGTCCGCCGACTACCTAGGTAGTCCGTGGGCGAACAATCCCCGCCGGCCAACTAGAACAATGATTAAGACAGCGTTGTTCTGTTTAGAGACAAACCGCCAAGCCGCATTTCATCGTTGGGTTTGACAAATGCGTTTCGGATGTCTGTTGAGTTTCGGGAGGCACGACGACAATAACTGTCACTTCCTCTAGGGAGATGTTCTGGAAATTTAACTCTAGCCGAGGGGAAAAGAGTAATCACAGCTAAAGTTGGAGAGGTAGGTGGTCGGCATGCATCATTCACAATCAATTTCGACATTTCTAAACTGACCCTCCCGGTTATAACGATGTACAAAGTTGGCTGGATATCTCCGAATCCTAACACTCCCTATAAGTTCTTTGCTGTAAGAAAGAGAACTATTGTGCGACTAAGAATTTAGCCGTGCTATTCACTACTTGGTGAAAGATGACCTCGGTAAGGTCAGGAACTCTCATGCTATCGATAATGTTGTGTAGCTCAACTCGTCGCAGTAATTGCCACTCTTCAGAGCCTATCATGTATCGGAAGTTCACCCGAGGGAGACACAGAAAATTCTTCTTTCACGGATATCACATCGAAAATGCGCCATGTGCCTAAGCCACTGCAGACAAAAGTTAGGGAACAATTGAATTTACGCTGAAGGAATTTTTATTCTAAAAATTAACAAGCTTCGCAGACTCTCGTGCTCAATTTTAACATCTACAATTGAAAATCTCAAGATATGTCAGCATGGTGAGGAATGGAAGAAGAACAGTGACGGACCTGCTGCAGAAGGCGACAACTTCATCCCTGATATGCTTCGGTTTCGGCTGTACTGCGGAGATTTTCCATGCTTAGATGTGATCGCCGTTGTTCTCTCTTGGTGTTCTGCCGCTGGAGCGTTCTCGATCCTCGTCAGATGGTGGCATGGCGCTCCCAGTACCAGTCTTTTCACCTGGGGGGGCCTCGCTTGGTGGCGCGGTTGTCGCAGGAGGTTCGGGTTGCTTGGTCACCATCTTCCAAATGCAGTCAAAACAGCAGAACCAGAAGGTGGCTAGTAAGCAGACTCTCGCAAACTTCGGTACTTTGGTGAAGCGGGCCATTATTTTGCAGACGTGATGTGTGATGGCCAGGGAGGAAAGGGAAGTTGAAAGTTTATGGTGGTATGTCTTATACAATGGGACGAGTTGTTAGGCCTAGCAAGTTGGGCTGATTGATGGGACACGGACCGTCATGCCAAATGGTAGCGATTTATAGCATCCAAGCTGGTCTTCAGACTAATATTGAATGGCCTTTTTTCAATGTCAACTTTATATTTTGAATTAGGAATTAACCTATGTACAAATCTTCCTCATCGATTAACTAACAACGGAACGGTCTTATTCAACCCAAGTTCATTGAAATTAGAAACAATTTAGTATCTGGGTAGCGACCTTTTGCACAGTGAAATCCCCGTGAATTGTGTACTGTAACTATTTGGCTAATTGGATTTAGTATGAAGACAGTATCGGTGGACCGTGGACCCCAAGTTCTTCTCAAGGCTCGTGGAGCAAATATCCTGCTATCAAGGCTACGAAAATACTTTCGCATTTTCAAGGCTTGGGCCGCTTGCATGTAACACGATATTGCATACTCAAAGGTCAAGCAACTTACTGACCAAGCATCGTACTCTGGAGTGATAAATTTCTTTGATTTTTGGGGTCTGGGTTCCTCTACGTTCTAGTGATACCATAGATCAAGGTTTTATTCGGTTAGCAACGTACTGCACATCGATAACTTCAGTAATGAGAATACCAAATGACGGAGACATGACACAAAATTTGACAGGATCAAAGCCTTAATGCCCAACGGAGAGAATACCCAATTTTGAGGCATAAACGGCCGTTTCTTATGTATGGTCTCCTTTCGGTTAGACCGTACAGGAGAAGATGAAAGCTATGTACGTCTCATGAAACAGAAACCATGAACACCATCGGGTCGAGTTTTTACTGTCCTCAATTTCAAGACAAGTCACATGGTGCTGTAAACCTAATTTGCTTCACCAGGGCTTAGAGATTGAAACCAGATAATGCTAGGCTGTGAATTCCCCAGAGCAAGATTAGAACAGGGCTCAATGTGTACCCAGTTTACCAGCCCACCTTCTTGGCGTATACTTAACAGCACTGATCTTAGCTTTCCTAGATTCCTTATCACTTGCACAGCGAAGAAAATAACTAGCATACAACCGTTTTTGATTCACAGTCGACTTTACAACTATCAACCATGTCTTCCGTTCCATCTATCACAATGTCATCTCAATATGACAAGGACAGACATACTGTGAAGTCTGAAGTACCAACGCTTGAGGAACTAGAGCAACGGGTTATCGACTTATCATATGATAGCAACGACGAAGAGGATCTTGACTTCATTTCCGGCGAATTCACCAAGTTTGAACTTGAAGCCAGACGTGCCAACGCTGTGCCCTTGTCGGCCCAGGACAAAGCTGATCTACAATACCTGCGTAAGAACCCACCTGAAAAGCTACTCCAGCGCAGTCCACCTCGGATAGGGGAGTTCACAGTCCCGGAGGTGGCCCCTCTCGTTAAGCATGGAATGACCTTGGAAGAGCTTGCGGCAATCTACAGAGCTCAACAACTGCAACAGCATCGGCAGCCAAAGTACCACGCGCCGTCAGTTTACGCGATGGAGGATCAGTCGGTCGCCGCCGCCCAACACTTCGGAAAGTACAACGAGGACATCACCGAGCTCTTCCAGTTATGCATCAACCGTCATTTTGACTTGATCAAGACACCGAAGATGGCCGTGCGAGGACCGCCGCAGATTGCGCACAAGTTGTTGCGACATGAGATGCGGGCGTTTATGGCCAGGGTCAATCGGAGGATCAAGTCGCAATTGGAGGAAGAATGTCGTGTAGAGCCAAGGAAAAAGCCAACAAAAATGGACAAAATAATGTTCACCTCTGCATTATCACTGGCGAACGAGCCTGAGGACGTAATGTCTAGAGATATCGTTGAGCGTTGTTTAGAGTTCTTCAGACTGGAGAAGACTAAGCGAGCGCAACGGGCCATTCCACAACCGGTCGAGAGCGATATATGGCGCGCTTACAACTAAAACACTACCTAAACTGTGAGCTACCACTGTGTTCAGGAGAAGCTGCGTTCTATAGCTGTTGATCAATTGATCTTTGCAGCTTTACACTGCTATTTCGACATGATGGTTCCAAACTATGCACACTCTGCGTACAGTTTCATGGTAGTTTATTCTTGTTATAGAAATCATGAAAGTCATTCACCATTTTTCTCTATTTAACGACGTAAAAACATTCTTATGACTTGCTCAAGGAGTGTGTGACGACATTAATCGAATCTCCCATGAAGTAATTTCGATCAGCATCCTTCATGATCACTGAATGCGGTCAGATATAATATTTACAATATATCACGACGATTAGATTTTGTGATAAACCATGTAGTCAGGGCATAAAGGGCGGTTTTCTCAATGTATACAAAAGATAAACTTGCGTTACATAGACATGTTTAGAATAGTTTGCTGTATCTATATGTAGCATAATTTCTTGACTATCTCTGAGCTTCCAAGGGATAATACGTTCAAGTTGTTTAAAATTATCGGCTTTGGGAATTATCCCAAACTTCACTGTGAATTGCTTGGGAGCATCGTTTGAGTT